CGCGAGTTATTATTTTCAGCTCTCTTCAGCTTCTCATTTTCCCCCCCTTCTCTCTATGGGTCTTCCTCTCCCCTTCCGTCCATTCGGCCTTTGTGGAGGAAGGATAAAGGTCGTCCTTTTGTCATCAAAACTCCAGATTAGTTTTGCCTCGGTGCATCTGACTCTCTGCTTTATCACTGTGGCCAGAGGAGCCACAAGGTTCAGCTCACCCCTCTGCAAGTAATAACTCCTACCAGCCACTGTTCCATTCTTTGCCGTTATCTCCTATACTACTATTACTACTCCATTCTGGGGCAGGGGGGATTATTTTGGCACCGGGTTTTATTTCACTGTATAGTGGCAGCTGACAGGAAAGCATGGAGCTGGAGGATGTGACACGCAACGTATGTCAAAAGCTACAATCAAACTGACAAAGTTGTAAGAGTCGCCTCAGTCTGCCGAGGCCCCGAGCGGCGCACAAATGAGCCGCTGACAGCGTGTCACAAACCGACACGGGTTTTATTTTAATATCCCAGCACTGATGGGGTTTATTTGGGGGGGATTCCGCAATGGGAGGACTTAGCCGAGAGTGGGTTCGGCGAACGGTCAAAACCGTAGGATACGGTGGAAGTGTTTCTTTGGCTACGGTTGGCGGAGCGCCTGCCATCCAGACAAGGCAAAAATAGATAAATAAATAAAAGACATCAGAGAATAGAGATATTCCGAGGATTACGGAAACGGGGCATGGGATTTAGACGAGTATCTGCGAGAGCACGAACGCGCTTGGAAGATGATCGCGCTGTCAATTAGCGCAAATGAATTAGCTTACACCCTCTGAGCTCTCAGAGGAGTTTATTAACTCTGTGTAAACACTGGTGGCTTCTGCCAAAGGCATCAGAGAGCCGGAGCTAGTAGCAGGTCAGCGGCGTCACATCCAGGCCGACGAATAATGTTATCTTATATTCCTTCATGGACGAGGAGTCGGTCGGGTCGAGCGCTGTTTAAAATCCAGGCGATCATCTACCCACCGGGTGTTACTTTCAGGTGACTGGATCAAGTGAACTCATTGTTGATTGAAAAATCAACAAGTGGTTGATTTTTCAATCAACAAATCTGTTGAGTGACCTCAACTTGGATTTTTTTGTCTGGCTAGACCCAGTTTAACAAACAAAAGCCTGATTCCAAAAAATGTTAGGGCACAGTCTAAAGTGTAGATTTACACATAATAATTAATAATATTTGATTTTTTGGTGAAAAGTAAGGGCTTCTGGGGGGTGAAATGCTTTGAGTGGGGCAGGAAGTGTGGAAAACTTAAATAACACTATGATTAAGAACGTGAGAGACATGCCGGGCTGTACAAAGAGCGCCTTAGAGAGGCAGAGTCTCTCAGAGATGAAGATGGGCAGAGTTTTAGTATTGCGAAGTAAAACTGTGCCTACGATGCATAAAGCAAAGGCAGGTTAGCGACCCTTGCTGTAAAATCACAGCAAGCTTGAATGTTCCATCATTACCGTGGACCGGACTAAGCCAATTGGATTAGGGACTGAGTCAGAGTGGTCAGGCTAGTCTTAAACCTTGTATTCAGTTCAGGATTCATTTTAAAAGCCTGCATCTTTGATAGGATGCATGTGCGTTCATCTCTATGGATTTTCAAGGATACACATTTGGAAAGGCATCAGCATTGCTTAGAGTTGGACATTTTTGAGAAAGAAATAATTCCGTCCAGGTGTTTTTCAGTGAATGGCCATGCTAAACTACAACTCTACATATTTTATGACGGCATGGCAGAGGAGTCCATAGACCCGGGATCGTTCAGCAGCTTTGACATAAACCAAAAAGGATGGGGTGACATTCCTCTTTGAGAGACTGATCCGATCTCCTTCCCCAGAGTAATAGTAAAAGGCAAACATCCCTTCCACATCGTTCAGAGGTGTGTGGCTACCAGTAAATTCAAGATCAGCCGATACCATTCATGAGCCTCCCACCTTTGTGGAATTCAGTTTACACTGGAAACGATACCCATTTCCAATGTAAACATGATAAAAACTATATCCAATAATCTCATGATCTCATCATTCGATAATATCAGTTCATTTCCCGTTAATCCTCCTTTTTACTTTTTGCTGCCTTTTATATTGATCCGTCGGAATAAAAGGGCCATTTCAGTTGTTAAGTGTGAATATTTGGCACAGTTTGCGCTGCAATTTCATGTGGTTGTTACCTGCCAGCCCCGCGTGGATTCTACTGTACGTTTCGTAGCGGCATAATAATAGCAACAGTTTGACTTAAGTGCACCACCAGCCACTAAGCATTGAGGATTGGCGTTTCCAGTGGAGAAAGTCATTTATTCTGAATGAATGGCGTCTTTTGAAGTCCTTACTCTCAGGATGCAGAGTGCAAACACAAGCAGTGTGGTGCCAGGGTCACAGAGAGAACAGACGCACTGAGAGTTCCACTGCTTTAAATGACATTGGTATGCAAAGACATTTACGCGGAGAACGTGCGAGACGGAGAGCGAAACGGACACACGCGGACGCACGCACACACAAGTGCTGAGAGGGAAACGGGGGAAAGAAATTCAAATAAAAAAACCGAGACAACCCGAATCAAAACAAAAGCATGCAAACACAAAGGAGATCCAGAGAATGAGGAAGACGCAGAGAATGGCACAGTCCCATCTGTCAAACAAATGTGAGGATGCTCCAGCCACGCGCACACGCACACGCACACACCCACACACAACCTTCACACAAACACAAACAGCAACCGTCATTTGCTCTGAACTTGGGAGATATCTGCCTCTGTCCTTTAGCCGTCGGTCCTTTGGGGGGTTGTTGGGGGGGTGGGCTTTGGTTGAAGTTGCATGAAAAGTTTGTTTAGAACCGAGCGGGTGCGTTAAGCCTTATGAGAGCCCATGGGGGAGTCTGTGGCACACACACACACACACACACATACAAACACACACACAAACACACTGATGCTCGGGCACGAGGCTTGGGCGGCAGCTCGCAGTGGCCCCAACCAACAGCGAGGAGTTTGTTGTCATAGCAACAGTAAAATGAGATGACTTTACTGTCAGCCGTAATGTTTCATGCCCCCCCCTCCACACACACACACGTACACACACTAACACACACACAAACCCCCAACCCTCGCCGCTATGGCAACATAACAAGGAGGAGGAAGAGGAGAAGGAGAGAAAGAGAGCATCAGAGGCATCTCTGCATTCCAGCGGACTCCTACCAGGAGCAATGTCGCCACCGTGTCCTTTTTTTTTCCCTCCTCAAGACAAACACGCGTACAGACGCACACGGTGACAAGCCTTTCATAAACCTACACACACGTGCACGCACACACACACACAGGACTTGAAAAGACTGCCAAACATCCTGTCCACCTCTGTCCCTTTGGATATCTGCTTTCTATTCTCAGACGTGGCGTTTGTCATCAGCGAGGGGTAGCCTAATTCGGATCCATTACGCTCAATGTCAGCATGTGGCGGGACGGCGCCGCGCCTCCGACAGGTACAGCTTGTTGAACGAGCGCGCGGGCTGTCAGTTCGGGGGAGACGAGATCAAAGGCGGCGGAGGGACGGCGAGGAGGCCGCCGATCCAACGCGCGGCTATACATCCCGGCTCTATATTTAGCTCAGTCCTTCCACTACAGCCTGTCAACACCGCTAAGCAGAGTTCCATCCATCCACTGTTGAAAGGGGGGGTAGGTGGAGGAGAGACAGACAGAGAGGAGAGTTGTTATGCTCTGTTGCCATGGTGACCCGGAAGCCAGGGATGCTGTCGGCCACGGGTGACAGCTGTCAGTCAATCAGGCAGAGGGAGTGTGTGTGTGTGGGGGGGGGGGGGGGGCTAGATCGTCAGATGATCACCTTGGATTAGAGCAATCGTCGCCACACGGAGACGGGTCAGAACATATCTCATAATCCCCCCCC